GGGAAGGGGAAAGATAAAGGCGGTGGATGCGGGCGATCAGTCCACAGAGTGTGCCCGAGGGAAAGGAGAGACGTCGTGGGCTGCAGGGCCGGGGTCTGGAGGAGGCAGAGTCAGGGAAGACAGGCAGACGCGTCAGGCTTTACGGGACGGGGGAGGATGCGCCCACCCCACACGCTGAATGCTGAGTGGGTCTACACCAGCGACGCCTCTGAGAATCTCCGCGCTGAGCCCCACAAGGGATCAGAAAGCGGCTACCGGTGAGCTAAGGTCTGGACTGGGCGTGATCAGGCCAAGTGCCCTAAATGACTCCGAGAGAGGGGGTCAGCTGGGGAGGCCTCAGAATCAGGGCCCAGATGACAGGAGGTGAGTGAGGCGCCCCCCTCAGGCACAGAATTTAAGGAGGCACCAAAAAGGTCAAGAGTCATGATAAATGACATCCTAATGCAGTATTTTAAAAATAAAAATGCAGAAAAATCCAGAAGGAATGTAACAAAATTTTAAATAAAGGTAAGTATGTGGTGTGAATTGTGTCCCAACCCAAATTCCTATCTTGAAGTCTTAAAATCCTCCCCACTAAGAACTTTTTCTTTCTTTCTGTCTTTTCTTTCTTTCTTTTTCTTTCTTTCTTTTTCTTTCTTTCTTTCTTTCTCTTTTCTTCTTTCTTCCTTCCTTTTTCCTTCTTTCCTTCCTTTTCCTTTCTTTTCTTTCCTTTCCTTTCCTTTTCTCTCTCTTCCTTCTTTCCTTCCTTCCTTTTCCTTTCCTTTCCTTTCCTTTCCTTTCCTTTCCTTTCCTTTCCTTTCCTTTCCCCTTCCTTCCTTCCTTCCTTCCTTCCTTCCTTCCTTCCTCCCTCCCTCCCTCCCTCCCTCCCTCCCTCCCTACCATGTGAGGGCACAGTATGAAGGGGGCCATCTATAAGCAGGAAGAGATGTATCCTGCAGAAACTTGATCTGGGACATCCAGCTTCCAGAACTGTGGGAAAATAAATGTCTGCTCTCTGAGCCACTGAACCTGTGGTGTTCTGTTATGGTGGCCCCCTCGCTGACTGAGACAGCTAAGTTCCGACAGCGCCTTGCTGAACACCTTAGAGGCTGAGGCAAAAGGGCTATATACAAGATTTCATGTTATTTTTTTTTAATGGTTAACTTTTCCCACGACACTAAAGGTGTTAAAAAGGTATAAGTTTGCTTCCATAAAGCCAGGAAGATAAAATTATCATTAGTTCTGTTGTTGGTATAATTAAGGTACTAATTGGTATTAAAATAGTGTTATACATTTCCATACCTATATACTCCACAATTTCCCAATAGTTTTGTCAGCACTTTAATATTCTGTCAGTAAAAATCCAACCACTAGAAACATACGCTACCATTTATACAGGGCAACGCGTTCTTCCTTTTGCCTTTGGCACCAAGATGGCTTGGAAGGATACTGCTTAGAACCCAAGATAAGATTCTTCTGAAGTTTCTTCTGCTGCCATTTTACTTTTCCTTATTACTCAGGTAATGCCCACCCGTTGCGAAATAATAACCTGGGAGCAAAAACCCAAGGAGAAGAGCAAATGGGATACGTGTTACCCATTCCCCTGGAAAACCGCTAGCGTTAACTTTGAGTCAGATGGTTCGCCTTCTAGTCTCGGCCCATGAATACTGAGGAAAAGAGCAGGAGCTCTGCTTAGCATGCCGCTGTCCCTCTGTCCCTCTCTCACTCCATCCGGTCTGTGGGAGGCGCGGGAGAGGGCGAAGCGGCTCCGGGCCCAGCCCTTCCTTTCTCGGGGGGGAGTCGGCCTGCCTACAGCAAGCTGTGCTCTGGTAAGTTCTGTTCCTCAGATGCACCCACCCCTGCCTCACAGCAAATCTGTGCCGGTGCCATCAGGGAGCCCGCTGTCCTAAAAGGAAGGAGGGGGTCTTGTTTATTGAACTACAGTCTACATAAGCATATCTACACATCCACAGACACATACATACACACAGAAACAAAACACAACATAAAAGAAAACCCTCTCAAAACTACAGTTAATTGAAGATAACTCAATTTTGCCCAAGCAAATTTCTAAGTGGTCAGCTTGGTTTTTAACCGCATTGGTTCTTTTTTTTTTTTTTTTTTTTTTTTTTTTTTTTTTTTACTGTGTATTTATTTTGAGGGAGAGCACAAGTGGGGGAGGGGCAGAGAGACAGGGAGACGGAATCCCAAGCAGGCTCCACGCTGTCAGCACAGAGCCTGATGTGGGGCTGATCTCACAAACTCTGAGATCATGACCTGAGCAGAAACCAAAAGTCAGACACTTGACCACCTGAGTCACCCAGGTGCCCCTTGGTCACGTTTTACAATTTTTTACTTATTTTTTTTAATGTTAATTTTTAAGAGACAGAAACGGAGTATGAGTGGGGGAGGGGCAGAGAGAGAGAGGGGGGCACAGAATCTGAAGCAGCCTCCAGGCTCTGAGCTGTCAGCACAGAGCCTGACGCGGGGCTCGAACCCATGAACCGTGAGATCATGACCTGAGCTGAAGTCAGATGCTCAACTGACTGAGCCACCCAGGTGCCCTGACCACATTGTTTTTATTTATTTTACTTATTTAAAATTTTTTTTAATATTTATTTATTTTGAGAGCCAGAGCAGAGGAGGGACAGAGAGAAACAGAGAGAGACAGAGAGAGAGAGAGAGAGAGAATCTCAGGCAGGCTCCAGGCTCTGAGCTATCAGCACAGAGCCCCATGCGGGGCTTGAACTCACTAACAGTGAGATCATGACCTGAACTGAAACCAAGAATTGGACACTAGACCAAGTGAGCTACCCAGGTGCCCCTTGGCCACACTGTTTTTAATCAAAAGACCAGGGGCCATCTTTTAATAAGCCATCTTAAAATAAACCACTCCAATCTACTTTCTTGAAGATTTATCTGGAATCAAGCAGCGACCAGATCTTTTTTTGTTTTTTTTTTTTTTTCCTATCCCTGTTGACCGGAGAAAGGGGTTCTGTGACCGGACCCTCAGAAGCCTCTGGATTTCTCATCTTTTTTCACAGGATCTTAATCACGGAGGCTTAGGTTGTACACACAGTACAGTTTATGAGTTAGCGTGTGGCCGTTCTGGCTCCAGGGATGATCCGTGGGTGGAACCAAGGCTCAATGTGCCGCGTACCAGACACATCCGTACCTGGGTATGCTCCTGGCTGGGCACGGCGCTCAGACCGGTCGCGGCCATATACGTGCTGCCGATGGTCTTAATCTTTTCAACTCCACTGAATTTCGGCTTGGACAGCAGCTGTGAAGCAATGACAACTGTTCAGTTACTCAGTTGGGTGCAGTGTCTAAAGACATTCTCCAGTTCTAGTTCACGGCGATAGGAATATGAACGATTCCAACTGCTGCTTATTCACATTGCGACCTCGGGCTTTGCCGAGAAAGAACGCTTTATACACTCCACGAAGAGCGTTGTCCTTGGAAGGAATTGCAGCATAATGATATGCTTCCAATTAGCATGAATTACCTTTTAATCTGCTAGGGAAGGAACCGGGATAAATTATGATGCAAGCGATAACAGTCTCAAATAAATTTCCCATCTCTGTGTTTAAAAGGCCAAACACAAAAGTATGATTCAGTGAGGGAGGTCTTCCCTGCATGGCGAGGGTGATTTATGACCACTTATGGTGCCGAGAACTGGCTTTTGCGTCTGAGCTCTAGATGTAAAGGGAATAATTATCTAGGATGGCTCTCCCCATCAGCTCTGACCCTAACACTTCTTGTCCCGGTTTCTGGTACCAGTTACCAGCTCCCACTGCCTATTCCCCGGCCAAGTACATTAGGACTTGGGTTGGGATGGAGAAAATGTAAAAATAAGAGCAGAGGCTATAGGAAAGAGAGCGAAGGGGTGAGAGAGGAAGGGAAGGAGACTCTGGGAGGTTCTTTATCTGCTCATGAGGCCAAAGGCACCAACTGAAGGCTGGGGACATCTTCCTGACCTTTTGTCAGCACTCCTGCTTTCAGAAGGGATTCTTTCAAGATTCCATGTCAGAGGGTCTGAGGCAGATTAGCAAATGCCTGTACCTCATATCCATGAGCCAATCCAACCCAAAATAGCCCTGCCACTCACCCACCCGTACTGGCGAGCATTTATTTCACTGAGGGGCAGCTGTAGCCAATAGGCCACTGTTTCTCACCAGGAACCTGGCATAACCATGGGAGGCACTAGTTGTCATTACTTCGCCATAGGTCTTGAGTCAATCTCACGCTGACAATGGTGATAAAAGAGAAATGCACAGGTCACACACGACATTTAGAAGCTTGGCCTGCAAACATCACGTTACGTAAATAATTTCGTCACGGTATTTCCAAGTTCCATGAATCCTGATGAACCTCTGTTCATGGATGTCAATTTTGCTATATTTTGCTTGATATTTATAAGAATGATGTAGCAGCAACATCCTTAAAACCACTGGTGTGTTTGTTCTTATCAGCAAACAAAACACGTTATTCTCCATGTAGGCAGAATATTGAAAATTGAAAAATGATACGTATTTCAAATTACGAAACATATACTGTGTCCCTTCTCAAATATATTATCCCTCATCCATATTGCTTTTTCAATAACAGAGCGTATCATCCCTGCACAGTTCAAGTTGATATCTGACCTTGGAGTATGCCGAGAGAGACACGCCAGTCATCTACTATGATAAATACATTCATTATTTCTTTTTGTATCAACCGATAAGCAAGTATTTTCCTTGGAGTTCAAGCCTTTTGAGAAAATCCGCCAGCAAACTGGAAAGACATTTTATTGATACCGACTTTGGTACCGGTTCCTAGGGAACACACTACCTCACAAATAAAATATATCATTTCTTCAAAATCAGTCAAGGACCATAACAGAGCAAAAGGCTTTAATTTTCATCCAGCCACCAATAATTACACCAGGAGACGTGCATTAAGACACGCCACAGGATCGGACTAACTTCAGATGGGATGGCCACCAGAATGCCGAAGTGTGGGACGGGGGCCACCCTGGCCTGTCAAGGGTAACTCTCGGGTACCTACATCATCAAAGTCGGCGATGATCTCGTTCAGGAGCCGAAGGCATTCCAAGCCCTCCTTGTTCACATCCGATTCTGTGTAGAATTCCTTGAAATCCGGAATGGAAGCAAACATGACACAGACACAGTCGTAGGACTGGTGGTACAACTCCTGCCCGGGAGGAAAGCGAGAGCTGAGCACTAGGAAACCTTGCAAACAAACATGCTCTTAAGACAAGTGTTTCTTTATGTGGGGATTGGTGAAGAAATCACCCGGTGCCCCCCTGCATGTGCCCCCAAACCAGCCCCTGGCCCATTCCGGACGCCGGCCATGACGGCAGGTGAGGGCTTCTAAGGAGCAGGATGCAGGCTGAGCCCTCAACACAGTGTTTCCACTGCCACTAGCAGCCAGTAGGAGGTGTCCTTCTGGCAAAACTTCTCTGCCATCGTTGCCTTCGACGATTACAAGAGATCACAGACTTCTGGCTTCAGAAAGAAATGTCCTGTAAGCAACTGAAGGCCAACAAAACAATCTCCCAAACTACTATACTAAAATGCCTAAAATGACTACATTGTCATGGCTACATCCTTTGTACTGAGGTCTTTATGCCTGTTTTTCTTTAGTGTCTCCTGAGAGGAGCTCCTCAAGTTACCTCTTAATTACCCCAGAAAGAACCGACGACACTCCCTGGGTTACTTATCCACATCGAATCAAACGCCAACTCTATGTTTATTCAAGATAGGCTTTTGCTGTTAAATACAAAGAGGCTCATACTTCTGCATCCATAGACATGAATAAAATTACAATGTCTTCTAAGTACAATTTTAAGGCGTTTCCATAGTTTTTTTCAACACACAGTGAAACTTTGAAGTTCAGTGAAGGTTTGAGAAAGGAAGGGTTGTTATGTGGGCAGAGAGGCTGGTCCTGGGTGTGAGGACCTGTCCCCCCACTGGCGCTGGCTCATCAGGGCCCTCAGGTGGCATGACGTGGGCAGGAAGGCCAGGCGCCACAGTGGGTGCAGGGAAACGCTCCCTCCGCCGGGAAATATGAGGAGAGTTCTGTCAAACAAGATGGCCGCCCTCAACGCGGATGGAAGAACGCAAGTCACTGGCGCTTCCTGTGCGCCTGGCAGGGTGAGGCAATCCACTCTGCATGAACGTTGTAGTGAGCTCTGCTCTCTGAGGCACCAGACGAATCCCCCCACTGGGAGAGCGCACTTCGGCAGCACCGTAACTCCCAGGTTTGGTGGCCTCTCCAAGGAGCCGTTCTTCCCCACTGAGGTCTCCTCACAAACACAGCAGGCCAATGGCGGCCCATGGACGGTCACAACCACTTCCTGGAAAAGCTAGCCTCAAGTCAGCTTCCTGTTCTCAGGGCCAGCCACCCGTAATGCCTTCTGCGACGACCTCACAATCTCTATAAAACACGCGAACGACAGAACCAAGGGTTTTCTTTTCCACTCTGCTCTCAACATGGTTGCGCTGGCTCACCGCGCAGACCTGTTCTTTGTCCGAGAAGCTGCTGCTCTGAACACTCATATCCTGGGAAGACAACCTGCGACACAGATGACTGTCAAGTTGCAGGGCCTGGCAATGCTAAGCCGGGGAGTCAGGGTTTACCGGGAGACAACCCCCTAGAAGCCCCTGCTAGTTAACGATGCCAGTTTTTTAAGAGAAGTATGAACTTCATAGACTTCCCTATTCTTTTTTTTTTTTTT